CAGCTAGCCCTGAAAATACTTTGGGTAGATTTTTAACTCCAAATTTTGCCTGGGTTGTGCCGTTAGACTACTCTTTTTGATTACCAACTGCCTACGGATTCTTATGTGCACAACAGTACACACAGACGTCCGATCATACTACCCATAGATAGACCAGAACAAACTAGAACAGTAACAGTGTTTTAAATTATCTAAATTTTAATAATTTTGTGAAATACTCTATGCCATGGCTAGTACTAGTAAGAGAGTTAAGTGAGAATGCAAAAATCATGCATTCAACAAAGACTGGACACTGTCAAATTTATTTATAACACTAGCTATGCCTAATTTGAAACCAGTGTGCTTGCTATACAACGAATGTGTGCCGGTGGTAAAGGAGTATGTGAAGCGGCCGATTACAAAGACTTACTTCTGCACAATAATAATGACAATTCAAGTAACAATGCTAATGTTTATTTATCATTCCAATGGCAAGTTGGAAATTCATGTATTTCAATTAAAAGTGAGTGTTAATTTATCATTACAAAAGATAGTATCACATTTTACATTCTAATGGTTTACAACAGGCCCTGGTGTAACAGTTTTAGAGTTTATTAAAGTTACGATTTGAAAATGTTGTCAATGGCATTGTGTTAATAATCTTTCCACATCTAGGCTCAGACAAACTTAGCTGAATAGCCCAGATATAAATCAAAATAAGGTCTGTATGTAAGCAAAGGAAAATTATAAATTGAATTAAATGGATGAAGTAGAATTTATTTAACTGGGAAAACTAAATCACAAATTGGGTGAACTACAGCATTTAAGAAATATGTGAAAAGTAAATCACTGTCTATGTATGATTTATATAATTTTTAAATCATCACTCATGAGTTAAATTATGGACTGTCAAAACATGTGAAAACCAAATCAATTAAGTGTGAGGTGACTGATTTAGAAAACATCACTTTGTATGTGACCTAGTGAATTCAGGAATAAACGTGAAAACTACATCTGAATTTATGCATAAATTAGTGCACAGCAAAATCATGTGAAAACAAAATCAATGCGTGAAGTGGTAAAACTCAAAAGCAAGTGAAAATAACTAAAACACTATTCTGAGCAACTAGGTGTATGCAAAAAACATGGACCCATAAAAAAAAAAGTTTAATCACTTATAAAACTGATATAAAGTATGAATGACTAACAGTATTTGCCTAAATGAAAATATTTTAACAGAAGTAGCTTTCTTCTCAACTTTATAGGAAAAGCTAAAAAAAAATAATATTACAGACTATGCATCATCTTTCTGACCAGCCGCTTGCCCTGAATTTCAGCAGGTTTATTCCTTTCACCCCAAAATGCAACCCTGAAATTTACATGGAGGATTATGTTTAGCTAAAAGGATGCTAAAGAGTAGAACAGGCCAGGTTTAGACTGCATTTCATAGAATGAAGAACATCTTCTGCAACATGTCCCTTCCTTTGGATGTTGCAAAGAGAGTATTAAAATGTTATATAGAACCTACACTGCTGTATTGCAGTGAATCATGGAATGTGAATGCACAAATTAGAAAAAACTTGTGAGGCAACAGATTTGCAGTTTCTCAGACAAATGTTAAGAATTCCTTAAACTACCAGAGTAGCTAATGAGGATTTTTAATGAAAGCAGATCAATCTATACAGCTATAAGGAAAATACAAGCACAGTTCTTTGGTTATGTGATGAGGGGGAAGGCTTTTGAGAATAATGACGACTGGGAAGATCAACGGATGAATAGGGAGAGACAGACCAAGTGAGGATGAAGGATATATTGTGACAGTGGCACAGAGGGATATTATAGGTGGAACTGATCTAGAGGAGGACAAGATCTGTGGAGAAGCATGGAACACCTATGCCAGTCGGCAGGGCACATGATGAGGATGATGAAAGGGGACGCCTGTGGATCAATTACATTAACATAACTAGGAGAAACACACTAGCATATGTGTGTTCAACAAGACAATTGTGACTGGTTGGCGAATTCCCTGGAGGACAAGAGTTCTAACATGGTGTTCTTCTTCAAGTTCACCAGCTGTAAACTTTAGCGGAAATTCCTGGTTATTCATCCACTTCTGGGCTTAGGGTTTCTTCTAAGACCTGAGTGTTGTGTGCACATCCATTTTACAGATCTGGCTTATTTATGTGCTGAGTTTTAGTTCCCCACTCACTGGCATTTTAAACTGTCAATTTCCCCTCTGTATCACATGCGTGCCACCTAAAGGTTTGACATCCCTGTGACTCAGATAACCGCATTATGAATGTCAGGCCCACAGGGCAAATATCAGATATCGCTTTCAACCAGCTAGGATGTGACACTACAACCAGTTCTACCCTGCTGTTTTGTGCAGGTATGAAAGGCATTAAACTCTATTATCTTCAGGTGGCTAGATTTCTGAAAGGGGTTTGCCTCTATCAACATGTGGTTGGTGGAGTTATTACCTTCCATATCCAGTACCAATTCCCATCTTCAAGGAGACTGTGTTGATGAGCTCTCCTTTCTTTTACCATATTCAAAAGCCAATGGGGTGTGCAAAAACCTAGTGCTTCTTACTTACAGAGAGATATATAAGATTGGCTAGCCAAGAGTCAGCACAGCTGAGATTAGGCCTAAGTTAGTCCTGTTTCTTATATGAGTTTTAGGTATTTCAGTAGGTTGAAACCAATGCTAGCAGACAATAAAAGTTATCAAATTAAGAGATATGCCCATAAGCAAGGTACATAACAAAGGCGGTCATGCAACTAACAGTCATGTGAATAAATTACATCAACAAGAACAGATTCCAAACAATATGACCAATGCTGCTAAAAGCTTTTAAAAAAAAAAAGAAACAGAATTCTGTATGACATGTCAACAGTGGAGAAGGGAGAGAATCAGAGAAAAAGAAAGGCTGTTAAATTAAAGTTACAAAAATAAGCAGTAGTGATTGTGATTATTATCATTGAAAACATGAGACAACGTAACAAGACTGATACACAAGTGGTGTTTTGTGTCAAGTTCCAAATGTGGCTACACAATATGCAGAAGTGGTTGCTGACGTCAATCATAAAATAAGTCCTTAGTCTTCTACATGTGATAAAAGTAGGGATCCACACCCCCCCCCCCCCCCTTACAGAAAAAGGAATACTACAGTGCGTGTGTGTTTTTTTTAAGTATGTGCTTTACAGCTGTTTTTTTAGCTTCACATATTACTTACATAATATCTAGTAATATGACAAACAGAAAGTGAAAATATGGCAGATATATATATATATATATATATATATATATATATATATATATATATATATATATATATATATATATATATATATATATATATATATATAAACACTTTGGAGTGAACTATACACATGATGTCTTAGTTTGCTGATTTGTTTGTCTAGGACTGTAAAATTAACTGTCAGTAAAACCTCTGACTAGAACACGCACAAGCAATGCCTGAATCAGCATACTATAACTTATATAACTAAAACGTTTGTTTTCCTATACTATGTTACATTCCTTTTTTTTTTAAACTGTTTTTTTTTTTTAACCCTAGGGATTGTTCTAAAATGGCTGGATGTTTGTAGCAGCTGAAGTAATGTTTGCAAAGATGCGCATGCAAGCATCATCACCATAATCCAGTGCCGTTAATGGCAAGAACATTTAGGGTCGGCTGTAACGAGTTTCCAGTACTCTCTGTGCTGCGACTTTGCAATACATTCATAGAGGATTATTCTAGCGGCACACAGACACACAACAGAAATCCTCAACTGATTAACATTACATCATTATCACACACAGTGCTAAAGATATGGAAGACCTTTACAAACACATCCACAGTAGCATCCCAACATCCCAACTGTGAGCTGCGTTTGTTTTTCGTTGGCACAGGAGCGGAGCATCTGTGGGGTGACCTGTTTGCTATGAAGCTGAAACTAGGATTACCAGATTACCAGATCCCAACAATTGAACAGATGTAATCATTATTTAAACATCTCCCTCCACACAAACATTAATGTACAATGAATGAGTAAACAATGAACATGAATTCCTGTGTCCACCCGACTGCCAACACCTGTTTAGTCTACTGAGCAAGTGACTTTTCAATCTTGCAGCAGTGACCATAGGACAAAAAGAAAGAGTGTGTGTGTCATGAGGGGGGGGGGGGGGGGGGGGGCGCCTCTGTGACGAAGTTGTTAATCAATTGGCCTCATGCTCTGAAGGTTGTAGATTTATTCTTTTGCAGTGCTCTCTCTCTCAAAAGGAAGGCTGAAACCTGGTGTTGTAGTTTACCGCCAGGCTGTGATATCTTCACCTTTTGGCCCAATACACCAGATTTCAGTAAGGTTTTATAATTAGTCACCTTGTATGACATGTTTGTGAAGTGGTAGAGGGTCTTTTTTGCTTTTCCCTCCCAAAGTGAGGCCCCAGAAGAGCCCAATTTACTCTCCCCCCCCCCCCCCCCCCCCCCACCATCCAGCAAAGCATTCTCCTGCACAAAATGCTTTGCCCTTGTTATCTGTATATAAAATCTGACAGGAGACAGGGTGATATCAAAGCTTCACGACAGCGATCAACTATGTGATTTTTACATTAAAGTGAAGTCACTGATAAACATGATGAGTTTACCTGGTATAGGAGAGTCACTGATCAACATGGTGATTTTACTTGGTACAGCAGAGACTTATCAACAGGGTGATTTTTGATTTTACTCAGTACAGGAAAGTTACTGATCAATGTGGTGATTTTACTGGGTACAGGGAAATTACTGATCAAGATGGTGATTTACTTGGTAGGGGGAAGTTTATGATCAACATGGTGACTTATTTGGTACAGGATACATAAAGAGAAATGAAAGTATGTTGGTAGTGTAGGGAGGGATTTAACATTTGGAGACAAACCTCATACAGAATGAGTCAGGCCGGCCACCTGTACATAAAACAGCATCGTTAAAAACTAACCTGGCAAAACACATGTGAGTATTAACTGGCAGATGTTCAAACAACATCACTCCAATCCCGCCTGGCGCTCACTGCAGCAACCACAACTTCTGGAGAGTCTGTGTAGTTGGGGTTGTCTTGTCCACCCTCTTCATGGTTCATCTGTTCATCTCCCTCATAGCTTCTCAATTGTGCATCTTCCCCATAGCTTCTCACTTGACTGACTCCGGCTACATCTGTGGCAGAGATGTCTGATGCATCTGCCTGCTCCACAACCCCATTCTCGTGTCCTGTCTTCACACCTGTCTCATCGCACTTCCGCTTATTTTCTGCCTTTTTCTTCTTATCCTTCCTCTGTTTTCTCTTTTCTCTACGATCTACCCGGTTCTCTGCAACTAATAAGGAGCTTCTGCTTCCTTCTTCTTCTCCTCCATTTCTCAACCAGTCCCTTCGCTTTCTTTTCCTCTCATTATTAGGGTCACTTCCCTCCTCAGTCTCCTGTATGTTGCCTCTACCAGGCCTGGCTAGAGTCAGCAAAGTCTCCTGTCTTGGATTTTTAGTGGAGATATCCTCGCCTCCCACAGCTCCATGTTCTATATCTGAATCTTGAAGCAAGGAACGATCTCCAGCCACCGCCAGTCTATCAGCATCTGTGGAATTCAAGGAAAGTATGGCTCAGCAATGCGACTATTTCAAGAGTAAATATATAGTATATAGTTAAATAAATGACAGTTGGCAGTATAAAAGCAGTAGTTGGTGTGTTAAAAAAAAAAAAAAAAATATATATATATATATATATATATATATATATATATATTATCATCATCATCATCATCTAGCAGGTCCTTTGCAGAACGTCGCTCTCATCACAGTCTGCCTGAAAGAAACTTGGTCTCTCGCCAGTTCTCCCACCTCATGTACTTTCATACTCAAGGAGTCACTTATATCATGTCCCCATCTTCGCGTCGGTCGGCTCCTGCCCCTCCTTCCTGGTAGCATGCTTTCTGCTATAATTTTTTCCAATCCGTCTTGGCACTTGATATGACCAAAATATTTTGCTGTTTATTAGCCAATCTTCCTTGATGTTCAGATATTTCAAGATGTCAGTATTTCTCCTCTTCTTTGTCCAAGATAATCTGAGAATCTTTCTATAGCATTTCAGCTCAAAAGCCCCTATTCTCTTTCTTAAGAACTGAGAGTTAGTGCATGACTCACATTCTTCCACAGGGAAGATGCACGCTCTCAAAATTATAATCTTTATCTCCTTGCTGGTGCTTAACCATAGACTTTGAAAGGCTGTTCAATCTTTGCATTGCTATAGCCATGCTCCTTTTAATTTCTAGGGACAATTAGTAGAAGTACTCTGGAGTGGCTGCTGCTTCAGAGGACTGAGCACACATGGGTATGCCCAATGTGCAGTGACGTCGATTGTGATAACAAAACAAAATAACATCTTGTAGGGAGTCGGCAGTCCGAAACCCAAGTTCAAGGTGTCTCCTTCGTGCCAAAGAACTGCATGGCTGTTGGGTGAACAGTCGTTAACTAAGGCAGTCAGGTCGTTGTAGGGGCGATGCCTGCTGGTGGATGTAATGTCCTAAGTCCTTTCCCCTAGCTAATAGTGAGGGTACTGCTGGGGTGACCATTTATTAACCCTCATATAATGCTTCAGGTCAAAATGGACGCTAGGCATGGCCACTATTTTTTTTTTTAGTCGTGGCAAATGTTTTTTTTTTTTTTTTTTTGCTTCTGCCAGGCGGTGGCCGTTGCATTTTTGCTCCATTTGTAGACTGGAAGGATATAGTTTCGTCGCCCAGCTTCCGAGTTGAGTACCTGGCGTGACACTGTGAGCTACCTTGTTTTTTTTATTGGCCCAGGAGCGGAGTAACTATGGGGTGACCTGTTTGCTATGAGGCTGAAACTAGGATTACTAGATTACCAGATTACCAGAATTTCTGTCAAACAGTCTTCACTGCTGTTTATTATAGAGCCTAGATATTCATAGTTTGTGACATTTTCAATTTCTTCATTATTTATGGGGTGTTTTTTTTTTGGGGGGGGGGGGGGGGGGGGGGGGGTGACAGCCAGTTTTATCTGTGGACATTATTTCAGATAATTTTATATATATATATATATATATATATATATATATATATATATATATATATATATATATATTATATATATATATATATATATATATATACTGATCTTATGTCAGTTAAAAACCATCCCATGCCAAGCATTACCTCCTTTTCTAAAATATATATATATCAAATAGTTACTGTCCGTGATTTTAGAAAAGGTAATGCTTGGCATGGGATGATTTTTAACTGACATAAGATCCTGAGCTATGACCTAAAGAAGGGATCGGTGTGTCAGTAATTAAGACGGGAAGAAAACTAGCAAAAGGGGAGAAATGGAGAGAGTGCTGGCATTGTTTGCAATATCACCATTAACCCCTCATTCTAGACTTTATCAACATTTTGCAAATATCACTATTAACTCATCATTGCAGGGTGTTGTAAAAGTCAACTACTTAGAGGTGCTCAATTCAAAGATGCAGTGCCCGGTGCCCCTGCCTGAGAGGCAAGCAACCAACAGACTGTATAGACATAAGCCAGATCTGTAAAATGGACGTGCATGCAAAGCTCAAGTTTTGGAACAAGACTCAAGACCAGAAGTGGCTGAACAACCAGAACTTTCCAACAGAGTTTACAGCCAGTGAATGTGAAGAAGAAGATGTCAAATTTTTTGCATCTTCTAGTGTAGTATGTTGTAATGCTTTCCATTATTTATGTTTTTCTTGGTTTTTGGACAGTGGTTCGAGTCACACAGTGAAAGAGATTGGACTTAAACCACTTAACAGTATCTACAGCTGGCTCACTGTAGCCAGCCTTCATTGTCGAGACAGCATCCAAATCGAGACAGCACCCAAATGAGACAGCACCCAAAAACAAAACAAAACTACTTCCCCCATTCCCCTCCTTCCTTTCTCAGGTTCTTCTCTGTCCAGGTTCCTCAGTGTGCTTCATAGTTTTCTTGGAAGCAAAGTATAACTTGATCTTCCTTGGCGAAACCTCACTTCAAGATAGGTAATCATAAAGACACTTAAGTAGCCATGTAAACAAACATGGATGAACAGAGATAATGAAATAAAAAGAGCAGAAAGGCAAACAAAGCCTTCACAATACAAGAAAGTTTGTGCAAGTCAAAATAAATGAAATCCAGTATTAAACCTATCATGTACATTTTGAAGCAGAGACCCTGATTATAACTTTTTTTTTTTTTAACATTCTCTGAAGTACACATAATCTGTTCTTACTGGTAGATGAAAAATTAGAAGGAAGAGAAGGAGGAGGAGAAGATATATGCACACACACACAAAGACTGACCTTGACCAGTGGCATGAGGGTCTGAACCTGCAGGATTCAAAACAACAGCTGACTCTGTGACGCTGCCGTGTGACTGACCTCGCGTCTGTCCCGTCAGGAGTGGAGTGTTCTCTGAACCTGGCGAGTTTTCTGCTTCAGACTCGGATTCTGAGTCGGCACCTCTGTCAGGTATCACCCGGCGCTTGCACACAGGGCAGGTCTTCTTGTTCTTAGTCAGCCAGGGGTCAATACACTTCATGTGATATACTGGTGGACAAATGGAAATTATGTTAGAACTAATGGACTGGGTGGCCTTATATCTAGGCAAATGGATAAGGTTATCTGGTATCAGGGTAAGATGATCTTAAAAAAAGTTAAACAGATAAGGTTGCTTATATCAAGGTGACTGGATAAGGTAGTCTTATATCAAGACTAATGAATAAGGTTGTCCTATATCTAGACTAATGGATAAGGTCGTTCTTTGTCAAGACTAAAGGATAAGGTTCTCCTATGTCAAGATTAATAGATAAGGTTGTCCTATGTCAAGACTAATGGATAAGGTTGTCCTATATCAAGACTAAAGGATAAAGATGTCCTATATCAAGACTAATGGATAAGGTTTTCCTATATCAAGACTAATAGATAAGGTTGTCCTATATCAAGACTAATGGATAAGGTTGTCCTATATCAAGACTAATGGATAAGGTTGTCCTATATCAAGACTAACGGATAAAGATGTCCTATGTCAAGACTAACAGATAACAGGTAAGGTGGTCTTAGTAGTTTTATGTCAAGACTAATGGATAAGGTTGTCCTATATCAAGACTAACAGATACAGCTGCCATATGTCCAGATATCAGATAAGGTGGTCTTAGTAGTTTTATGTCAAGACTAATGGATAAAGCAGCTTTATATCAAGACTAGTGGATAAGGTAATTTTATATCAAGGCTAATAGATAAGATGGCCTTACATCACGGCTAATGGATATGGTGGTTTTTCCCAAGGATAATGGATAAGGTAGTCTTATATAAAGGATAATGGATAAGGTGGTCTTAAATCAAGGATAATTGATAAGATAGTTTTATTTCAAGACTAATGGATAAGGTTGTCCTGTGTCAAGACTAATGGATAAAGTAGTTTTATACCAAGGCTTATGGATAAGGTACTTATATCAAGGATAATGGATAAGGTAGTTTCATGTCAAGAAGAATGGATAAGGTTGTCCTACGTCAAGAATAATGGATACGGTAGTTTTATATCAAAGCTTATGGATAAGATAGTCTTACATCCAGGATAATGGATAAGGCAGTTTTATGTCAAGACTAATGGAAAAGGTTATCTTATATCAAGGCTAATGAATAAGATGGCCTCATATCACAGCAAATGAAGCTTAAAGAACTTAGCACTGATTGCACGGTCCGTTGCTCCATGAACAAATGAACAGAGAAAAGGATGTGTGGGTGTGGGTGTGTGTGTGTAAATAGGCGCGCATGCGTGTAGGTTTGTGAGCATCTGTGTACATGGGCAGGTATTATGGATATCAGAGAGAGATAGAGATAGAGAGAGAGGGAGGGAGGGAGAGAAAGGGGGAGGGGGGAGGAGAGAGAGAGAGAGAGAGAGAGAGAGAGAGAGAGAGAGAGAGAGAGAGAGAGAGAGAGAGAGAGAGAGAGAGAGAGAGAGAGAGAGAGCAATACTAATGGTGTCAGAAAGATCATCGACATACCATGGTCACATGGTAGAACTCTGATTTTCTCACCCTCCTCATACTCATCTAGACAAATGGCACAAGTGTCGTAATAGTCCCCTGAAAAACAAAATACAAAATAAATCAATAAGGTGTCTTGGAACTAATGTGGGTCACCACAAAACACATAATTTATTCATGTGTTTGGTGTGAAGAAGAATGCCTCCTTCCTAGAAGAATTTTACTTCTAATAAAGTCTTCAACCGAGTTGATCCCACAAGTTTAATTTTTAAAAGCATATGCCTATCTTAAATTATACAAATACATTTGTGGAAATCATACGGCCGAATTTTGTGATTATCTCCTTAAATTCAAATAAAGAGATAAAAAAAGTTCAGTAAAACAAATGAATGAATTATTATATATCTACTAACCTCCCTGTGTGGGTTTAGGGGCCCCACTGTGGGGGGAGGGGGGGGGGGAGACCGGTGGCTTTCCTAAGAAGCATGTCGTAAGAGTCAACTAACTAGTGGTTTCCTTTGAAGTTGGAGTGCACCTGCCTGAGAGGCAAGGAACCAAAAGTCTGCATACAAATAAGTCAGATTTGCAAAATGGATGTGCATGCAAAACTTAAGTTGGGAAACAAGACTAAAGTCCAGAAGTGGACAAACAACAAGCACTTTCCGCCGCAGTTTACAACTGGTGAATGCAAAGAAGAAGAAAACATATCTACTGACAACTTGCATCTGTAAATCCAAGTTGTTTCTAAATCCTGAACTCTGAGACCTTTATTCTATTTACCATAAACTCTTCTCTTTCAAGTCATCACGATAAGAGGGTGACAAAATAGGGGACTTGCAGGTGAAGAAAAAGAACGCCGCCCAAACAGAAAATGACAATGGTGACTAGCTCAGCCATTAGGTGCAGACTAGTCTATTTGAAAGAAAAAAAGCTGTTCTTCTACTACTACCCCACAAGCTATGGTTGTGAAAAGAAAAAAAGCTGTTCTTCTACCACTACCCCACAAGCTATGGTTGTGAAAAGAAAAAAAGCTGTTCTTCTACCACTACCCCACAAGCTATGGTTGTGAAAAGAAAAAAAGCTGTTCTTCTACCACTACCCCACAAGCTATGGTTGTGAAAAGAGACCTCTTACTTTTTCTTTATAACACTGAGGCAGTCTCTGCCTGCATTCTGGCAACAGTGATTCTAATCATGACAACAAAAGCACACATTTCAAGGCCATCAATCAACTCAACCAAATAATTCTATCCGTTGCTGTCGCTTGTAGCTCATTCCATGACCTCCCCACTTTTTTCACCACACTTTTTAGTTCTCTTTCTATGTGCGTTTCTTGTTAAATTTAAAATAGTTCTTTTGTAGCTTGTTGGGTTTTCTTGGCATTACGGTTTCAGTCAGTCATTGCTTTGCCTATATAACATCTTTTGCACTATCTGCAAATGCACAGTGTATAGATGGGCTAGAAATTATTACACAAACTAACAAAATAGCTTCTGAAGGATTTCTAGGTAAGAAAAAAAATAAAAATGTTTGCATCAAAGGTGATGAATACTGTTGATTCTCAGCTCCCTTTGTGTTCACTGATTACTTCCCTTCATGTGTTGCCATAGCAGCAGGAAAACAATTGTTGGAAAACAGTTTAATAATTTTTTTTACTGACTTTACTGGCAGGATATTGCAGTGACTAGCTTGCCTGAATTTCCTGGATTTTTATAAAATTGACCACAACTCATAATTTATTTTGCTTCTAAAGGCAGAGTTTTAGATGATCATAAGGATGTGTTTGCTTTTAACACCCTTATAAAAATAAAAAAAAATAAGATCCTGTGAGGCCAAAACGGAACCTTGTGGGTTTTAAAGTAAACATATTCTAGTTGTACTGTTACAGGATTTCATAACATGTGTCCTATGCAATACCAGCATCTTTCACTCACCTCTGATTCACTGAAATTATTTATAGTTATCTCCTTGAGCTCTACATTAGTGATTTAGTCATACTGTTTAATTCCCTCTATTCTGCAGAGGCATCAGTAACTGAATGTCTGTTGTTTATTGGCAAGTGACCAACAAATATCTGGCACAGTAATTTTTTTTTAAAGCAACTTTTTCTGGCCTGAAAAACAAAGCAAAATTTTACCTTTCTTGAACTTGCGGACTGGAATCTTGTTCAGGTGCTTCTTTGACAAGCGATTCACCTTCTTGCTGGCTTGCTCTCTTAACAATTTCACTAACTTTAAAAATAAAGATAAATGCAATAAGTAAAAAAAAATTACACTATTATACTATATATATATATATATATATATATATATATATATATATATAATATATATATATCTATCTATATATATATATAATATATATATATATATATATATATATCTATATATATATATATATATATAAAATAAGGAACATAACAGACAACAAAATAATAAGAACAGTTAAATTAAGGTAAATACAACTGTTTTATCTGAGGGATAAATAACCTTAATAGAAAAGTCTATAAAGTTGAAGTCGAGAGGACAAACTTCATTACACCGGGTTTTAATCCCACATGGCTTGGTCTTTCTCCAAAGAATGGATAGCCACCAGACAAGTGTGCAGCACAAAACACAAACACTATAGCTCTGGCAATGATCCCCAGGGCTATCGGCAAAAACTGCGCTTGTGAACCAAATGACACAGCCGTATGAAACCGTGACATTCAGAGAGAGAGGCAATTGGTTTTACCACCTCCCCAACAGAGACCGCCTGGGAAGATTAATATGAATTTCTGTAACCTATGGTATTGTTTCAATCTTAAGATATGAATCCTGTCCATATTCTACAGTTGTGGGTGCAGCAGCTGTTTTTACGTCAGGATTGGCTAACGATTACATGTTTTGTGAGGTCTCTAATTGGTCAAATGTCAAAGTGCAACTGTTCATGCACTGAGGTTCTGTCATTATTTTGGGGCATTAGGTTCAATTCCTAGTAAGACAATGATAGCTTTCTAATTTAAGCTGTCTAGTTTTTCTGCCTCTACTTCTTTTATCTGCATCAATGAGTGCCCATTAATACTTGTCTATTTGTTTATTATACAGAAAAGTTTAGACAGCTGGAATTCTTAAGATGAAGGGACACATTCTACCGGAGTCCAAATAAGAGAAAATACTGGAGTGTCTTAGGGGTCCGGGGTGGATGTGAGTGAGTGAGTGAGTGAGTGAGTGAGAGAGAGAGAGAGAGAGAGAGAGAGGGGGGTAAGTGCCCTGGTCATTTTATAGAACACTGGACACTGGAGCAGGGATGTGGTCAACATCACAACATAAAGGTGTGGAGTCACTTTTAATTTGTTTAAAAGGATCGGGTGTGAAATACTAGGGTCCCCCTGTGGGTTCTGGGACTCCATGGGGGTAGGAGGTTGGGGGGGGGGGGGGCGCCCTAATAGACCCACTCATACAAACACACCAGATATACAAAATGGATGTGCATGCAAATCTCAAGTTCTGGAACAAAACCTAAGTCCAGAAGTGGACTATAACTTCAACAGTTAACAAACTTACAGGACAGTTTCTGTATTAAATCCACGATACATATGAAATATCAGATCTAACAAAATGTTAACTGTGTGTTATCCTGATTTTATATATATATATATATATATAAACTATATCAAGTATCCTATTGTCGAGGCAGCTAGAAGAGTGAGAAAGAGAAAATGTTATCTCCTAAAAACAGAGGTAAAGGTAAAGTCGGGAGATGTGAACTAGCGTCATTGCACACGGTTATAAACCATAGTGTTCTGCCACCAGTGCGGACAACTGATAAGAATTGTCCGCCTGTGTCGCCGTCTGCATGCAACTCCGTAGCTACAGCGACGTTCCTCCCTTTACCCCAGAGCGTTAACTTTGGTACCCATTACCTAAAGGCTGGGTGAACCCCGGGAACCGTCCGGTTTTGAACACCAACCGTGGGCTGCAGCGAGTCGTAGCTGGATTTGAAAGCGAGTCCCCTATCGACTGCGTTACAAAATTTTAAACAATAAAAGAGGAAATGAAGAAGTAACCAGGGCTCACTGCCAACATTCACCATGTGAGAAGACAGAACAAAATAATGGATTATATCATAACACAGAGGCAGACTGTTCCAATGTGGATCTACAACACTGACATGCCACTACACAATCACTGTGCTTCCAGTAAACGTGCAGAAATAAAAATAAGACATCAATCCGCAGCTCAGTAAACACTCAGAAATTTCAAGAGAACATTTTTAGAACTCACTGATTTTAAAAAAAAAATCAAACCACTGCACCAATTAAAAAAAATATGTAAAAAAAAAAAAAATGTTACGGGCCCAATTGCACTTAGAAAAGAAAAAAGCACACTATGCCACAAACATTTGAAAAACATGCCACCACACCAATTAAACATCCACAAAAATAAAGGCAGTTCCATAATGAACTTGACTGGCATTGGGGTTAGTGGGTGTATGGCACAATTTTTTTTTTAATGTACCAAGAACATTCCTTAGAAAACCATGGGCCAAGAAGAACAAAAACACAGATATCCTGCATAATCTGAACATCAAGGAGAACTGGCTCATAAACAGCATCCTGACCTGAAAGCTGCGGTATTTTGGCCATGCTGTGACTAGAACAATGTTTTGCAAAAGGACCTGCTGACTGATGATGATGTACCAGGCTTCGGTTTCCATACTTGTCTAGAAAATTCAGTGTTTTGCTGGGACTGAAACTGAACAACTGTCTTGTCAGGCTAGTGCCCTAATCCCTGTATCACCATAGCTCCTCACCAGACGTGTACAAAAACCAGATTACATAACACAACAAGAACCTTGAGGTTACCAGAAACATTCAATTCCTGGGAAAACAAACTGCTTTACTACACAGGAGGCAGACTGCTTAAATAGTGATTGGCTCTACAAAGCTGATCTGTCAATGTGTCGATCAAGTTATATATCTTGAATCAAACTTGCATCAACATCATCAATAAGTACATTGCCAAGAGGCATAGGCAATCATGCCTCTCCCCCAACTAAGCTGTTAACCGTTCCATTTTTTTTTCTTACAAAATGAATTAAACATGCACCGAAATAAAACAGGGTGCTAAGTTTACTAAACATTCAAAGATAGAATGAGAAAGATGAAAACATTCAAAAAACTTACTTCCGTGAGGCAAAGTGAGGGAAGACACAACCATGCATAAGAACGACAAGAAAAGCCCAAAAAGATTTAAAAAATCACTCACCATAAAAACCATGAAGATAAGAAAACAGACACCTATCACAACCGCAAAGGGCCAGAGGAACAATCTGAGTTCTTCGTCCTCCTCCATGATTGTGATGATGTACCTCCTGCAAAGAGGTGTAAACAATGTTGAAATGAGGTGTAAAGACACTCACCAAAACCACCAGGGCCACGAGAATGCAAACTGTCATTGCCAGGAGGAATGGCCAAAGAAACTTGGGGAAGTTGTCATCATCATCCTCCTCCCAAATTCTGATGATGTACCTCCTGAAGAATATTTTAACTGTGTCAAACACACACAACAAAGAAACAGTTGGAACAAGAATGGGCAATCCCATGTTATGTAAACAAAATGACCATGTGGTAAACCCTGGGCTACCAATGTAGGACTGTGATTTGTATATTTCAGTGAAGGGGTTGATTATTTTGCATATTTTGTTTATGTAAATTTTGTATTGTGTGCCTGCTGAGGTACAGCTAAAATGGCAGGCAATAGATTACACAGCATATTATTTGTGTCCTCATATTAAAAAGGGGGGAGGGGTATATTCACCTTTAGATTTCGCAGTGACACACTTATTAGCACAAAACGAGTTGTTTTTCAGGGTGGGTGTGTATACCTGCAGCTTATTCCTTTTCTAATGTCCACAAAATTGTGAGAACAGATAATAAAGTGGTCCAACAATACATCAGTTAGGATCTACTCCAAATGAGACATGACTCCTTTTTATGACCCTGGTGTCCTCACACTCTTGTACACAGATAATGTTACACAGTGAAGGAAAGATAGTCAGGAAGGGGGTAGGGTGAATTATCATTATACAATTTGGTACCACTTGTTTGATGTGAGTGAAATAACATAAGACGACTTCATTTTATGCATTTAAAGATGACAAAGAAATTAAACAATATGGTGTTAGTCAGTAGTTGAAGTTTCAACTTTACCACAAACAGGTCGACCATAATTGCTGCTTTGTTCCTGTGCCAGTGAAAATCACACAAAATGACTTCCTTTGTCTCATTTTTAAACTAGTAAACAATTTTTTTTTAAACCATTGTCCCAGCAAAACCGAGAAACATACTTAGGCAATAAATGCACAAGGCAATCACTCGAGGTAACATCAACAGTCATAATCAGAACTGCAATTTGTAGTTGATGGAAATAGTCCAACAAGCAGGCAGCATTTATGCAATTGTATTGCCTACAGCACTTCGCCAGCCTGAATGCAAACCAGAAAATCACCATCTTCTGAATATGACAACAAAAATCATGGACGGCTTTATGTCTAATTTAACTATTCTCTGCTACTGAAAAGTTGAACATTAGACAGCCTGGTACCAGCAAAGAAATATGATCAACAGGTTTTGGGGAGAGAGGCCAGAGTTTCTGCAGTTTATTTTAACAACACTGAACGTTGAAAAAATAACTTACTGATGTGTATAATTATACCCCCACAGCTCCATGCCACTACTGTAGCCGACGAAGGTTGCCGGTATATGCACAAGGGAACCATCTGTAATACAAAATACAAGACTGTGATGCTCGGCTGACATTTCAGACGTTGTACTTTGTTTTTTATTGAAATGATAACAGGCAGGCACTAATCAATGGTCACTCTCCTATACCAAGTTACCCAGTAAATGTTGATAAATGACACTATCCCTGTCGCCTCTTTACTCTTTCTATAGCAAGTAATTACATGATGTATATACTGACAGTTGGCGTCCATGGCTTAGGCATTGGGAACACACTTCATAATTCCGAGGTGCCGGCATCAAACCAAGCTGTGTGCGTTCTGGCAACAGATCGCCTTGTGCTGGTTTCGACAGTGGTTTTGAGAGCTGACCATTTAAAAGCAATGGAAAACTAGTGAACATAAACATTGCCTAATGAAACAGCCAAAAACTCTAGGGTTGGTTTGCAACATCCTGAAAAAGGACACACAACAAACTTTATATACTGACAACAGAACAATGGCCTATTACTTTCTTGACCACATCAAGCTACTCGTATGTTCAGAAACAACACTGAACACTTGTCATTTTCTCACTGTTTCAAGCAAAACAACTGCTGACACAAGAAAATCACTACTTGTCATTCTGCTGACTCCCTCAATAGCAAACAACTTGTCATATGTGGGTAAACAATACATGGACACACAAACATGCATGACAGGCATGCACACATGCACGAAGTACATACATAAGCGCACACACATAAATTACTCCCAATTATACTTTATTTATATTTTATTTGGAACAAAAACATGGGAGAACAACTAAATCAATTACTTTAAAAAACTACATTTAACTGCAAAGAACATAAGGATTAAAAAAAGTATAACAGAATTACTAATTTACAGTTTTTGTAGAAAACTAAAATGGTATGACTGAAAAACTAATTTGAAGTTTTTGCACTAATTTGCAGTTTACAGAGAGAACTCAAATGGTATGGCAGAATCACTAATTTGCGGTTTATGGAAAGAAATAAAATGTTATGACAGAATCACTAATTTGCAGTTTTTGTAAAGAACTAAATATATTCTATTGAATCAAGGCAAGGAAAAGATCCTGGGGTGGAAAAAGAGAAGACCTAAAAATAGTAAAGCTCTAAAAGCTTTTTCTGTAGAAGACAGAGGAGGGAAAACACAATAAAAATGCACAGAGAAGAGAATTAGAGACTGTGATGAATAATTGGAAGAGGACCTGAAAAGAGATGAAGGAGCTGGAAAAGACATGGCCCTGGAATGAGCTGATACAGATGGCCTGTGCTTGACTGGGGGGGGGGGGGGGGGGGGAGTTCACACTTAAAATGGCGGCCGATATGTTGTGTTGTTTACAGCTACGCTATGATATCTGCACATTTTGAACCAACTACATCTGAATGAAGAATACTCCTAATTAGCAAGCTATCCTTTTACCCCCAAGAAACATGTAATTATTCACACATACATTGCACAACTACACATAAATTAACACACAGACAATTATTCTCCCCTGCTAAAAATTTCAAATACCCATACATGCACTTTAAAAAAAAACATGCGTTTAGTCACATACACACAACATATCTGTGAAGTAAATATGAGAGCAAATAATTATGAGAGCAAATAAATATGAAATAAAACATCCTTATTTATTACACATCGATCTAGCATAATTTCAAGTCAAATCAAAATTGCTTGTACGGAAACATTACCTTATACCTGCCCACCTACTAAATTACTTGGTAACATATATATAACTTAGCTTCCAAAGAACAAAATCAGAATTCTATTACTGCTCTTGGTAATATGCCACAAGCAACCAAATGCATTTTAACATTTACACAACAAAAGCCAAAGCTGCAGAGAAACAATAAATGGTGCAAGCAGGAAAAATGATCAGGAAATTTATAAAATAAGACAAAATATCAATAATTATTTAATTATAACCAGAAAAAAATATGTTCACAACTAAATACCCATGTGGAAATCCCAGTTTCAATATTTTCACAAATAAATAACCAAACAGTTTATTGTTTTTTCTCTTCTGAAATACTAGCAGATACGAGTTTTCTGACACAGACACACACATTTCAAAGTGAAGTACTAACTTCTAAGTTAGTTAGTCTTTCCTCTTCTCGCCATTCTCCATGCTAATCCGTTGTAGGTCTTGGATGTTTTGAGTGGCTGAGCGAGCCTATTGATAGTTCTACGTAGGGTTTCCCTTGGTCTTCCACGAGATCTTTCCTGTGGTGTCCAAATGAGGGCTTGTAAGGAAGTCTTCTGCTTTGTCAGTGATGGCAGTGGAGGTCTTTGAGCATTTAGGGCAGCATGGCTACTGCTGCTGCTACAGACTGTGCAGGTAAGGATGTTATTTTTGCCCCTCGACAGAAAAACCTATAATCTTACCAAGGATTTTAATCTGTGTCTCCTGCAGGAGAGTACAGTGCTCTTAACTGTTCAGCCAGCCGCTTGTGCTATCATCACTGAACCATAATTACACCAACAAAGTGATGTAGTGTTTAACGCGCAGGCCTAACAACACAATGGTCTTGGGTTGATCCCCAGAAGTGGCAGGAATAAATTCATTTTTTCTGTGCAGCTGTCAGGTTGATCCAGCCTCATAAAACTTGTACCAGAGATAGGAGTGGGAATTCCCAGGCTGCATTTTGGTCTGCAAAAAATACAGATCCAGTACCACATACAGATCCAGTACCACATACAGATCCAGTACCACATACAGATCCAGTACCACAACCTTCTCTCAAGGACTTGCCTAAAATAACCAATAACCACATGAAACGGAATAAATGTATTATTTTCAGTTTTGGGTTTGAATTGATTTCAGATTTTAATAACTAACCAGGTTGACCCAGCCAAAAACAAGTACTAGGAAATATTCTGGGAAGAAACATGGCCAGTGTGTTGTTGATAATCTCACTCAATGACTATCAACTGGTCTATCAAAATATGTGTCTAACACTGTATGCCCAATGTGTCAACGATATTAAAAGAGGGTCAAAACACATAGTTAGAATTCTGGTCTTTTTTAATGTTCCGGCAAGTGTAAAAGATATAATAATGCACCACGTGGTGTTCTCTACATACAGGCATTAGCTAGACAATGCATGGTGTGTTCTTCGGGACAACAAGAGTTAAAATGGTTTGGGGTTACACTTTTAAATATCACTCACTGGTACAGGACTCCATTTCCACTTGTGAGCTATTGCTAGGAAAATTGTGTACGATTGCTGAATCATAGCCAGCTTTTTGTGCTGCTAATACCTGGAAAAAACAAGTGGAGGGAAAACTAAGCCACAGCAAGGAAGAAACAGAGAATGAAGCAATGGGGAAACTGTGGGGGAAAAAAAAGGGGGGGGGGGTCGCAACAATTTAAGGAGTGATGGGTTATTAAAAAGAAGCAGCAGGTAAGAGGAAAACGAGAGACAGGGTATTTCTGAGATTATAGGTCTGTAGAAGGGAACAAACCTTGAACATCCTCTAATGCAGATGAGAGCGCATTTGAATTTGTCACAGATAATGCTATTTTAGTACAGAAATTATAATTTTTATAATAGTGTCTGATCCACTGATCGTACCATCATGAGACTACATATTTTTACTGAAAATGGAGACGTCACCCGGGGGAAGGTCCTTGGCAGAATGGTGCTCCTATCAAGGCTTCCAAGACAGATAATTTCCTTTATCATGTGTTCTCAGGACAAATTATCAACATCATTGCAGATTGGGCATTCCCACAAATTTTCAGTCCACTGATGCAATTGCCATCTCAGGGTACCTCTACTGACTGTTCCTATATGATGTCGGTTGTATGTTTCCTATCTTGATTTCAAAGAAGGCATGGTAGATGTGCTTTGCCAGGCTTTACTCCCAGGACCTGTTGTTGGTTTAGCATAGTGACTTGTCACTATCCACTAGTCTAGTCTGTACAGCAGTGACTATATGAGCTCTGACATGACCTATGTCCACCTTGTGCTTGTCAACGCCTGCCTTCTTTTGCCAAGAACCATGCCTTCCATCAGTGTTCTTTCTCAATCCTGCAGTTTTAAAAATGACCAAAGTATTTCAGTTCTGAAGGCATTATGCTGTTTCGATTCTTCTGTATTTAAGTTTTCTCCAATTATCAGATCTTGTAGAATGTTAGTATTTTTTCTTTTTCTGGATTTGTCATATTCTAAGAAAACAAACAATGACAGTGCTAAATTACAATTCTTACTATCTGAAAGGAAGATTATGTGGACTTAGAATAAAGGCTGCTTTATGTAATGACAAAATAATTGTATCTGAGGTGATTTTCCATATTAGTTCATTCTTGAATTTTGTCTCCAAATATTTAAAAACCAAGTATTTGAAGACCGGTGTAACAACCCTGCCACCTGCTAGTCTACATACCCCTACAACAGTGTTTTATTTGTAATGTTCTAAAAATGTCACACACACACACACATAAATTAGCGAAGTAACTGAATTCAGTACTTGTCACAACAATCAGGAGACAACCTGAAACTTGATACAAATTAAATTATTAATAATTTCTTCTTTATGACCTGCAAAACACAAAGGAAAGATTAATTCACTTTAGGCATAAATATTCACTTTAAATGGGATACAGGCAAATACAAACACACACTAAGTGACTTGCAAAAGGTTAACATTATGATAAATCAATGATTCATGTATCTTCATGGTGAAGGGACCACACTATTTGTCTAGCTCTCTGGAGCGCATAGGTTTGTTTTTAATGATATCAACCCTTATGTGCAGTAAACAACTACAATAGTTCACACAGAGACACTCAATAAACCATTCTGTTTCTGGTTTGTGACTGTTAAAGAGAAGTGGTTCTGTTCCTTTTTTTCCCCACCAAATAAAAGGCGACCCTAGAACCCACATCAGAAACTTACATAGTACAATTGCTGACCCATGCAAAATTCTACAGAATCTATCATTTCTATATGTGTGTAGCTGAAAGTAAATTTATGTACCCATGTGACTACATTCATGGTCTG